ATTCTGTTGACCCCAAAACATCGTTCCGAGTGCTTGTTCGAGCACGAACAACTCGCACCTTACGCTACCTGAAGGCAGCCTACATAAGGCGGTTTAAACCCGACCCATGTAAACAATTGGAGCGTGTAGTGAACCTAACTCTGCCTTGGTAACATTGGCTCCTTGTTTGCACAATTCCCCTCCCAAATTGTTACCTCAGACGTCTTTCCCCGTTTTTTGCTGACCATAGCGTCTTAACTTTCTTACGTTATTGATTAGCCACTTGGCCATATCTTATGAGCTTATGTTTATATCGATTTTTCTGTATGAATTCAACTGGTATTTTCTCTTACGTGATTCACGTTACGCAATTGAGAGGCAGCAACTGAAGAGCTCTCTCGAAATGCCATGGATCCAACAAATCTTGCTGTTAATGCTATCTTTAAATTGTGTATTTAAGCCCCAGGGGCCCCGTCATTACAAAGTTAGTGTTGGGATAAAAATATAAAAAAACTGTATGAACAACATAAATGAGTAGTATGTTATACATATTACGTCACATCCGATCCACAACGGGCAGTCATCTAAAACAATAGTCAACACTATTTGCCAAATATGGTGAAATGTGAAAGGGAGCAGTGTAAAAAACTCCTTTAAAACATATTAGAGTTCAGCGGGCCCCTGATTTCAAAAATGTATAGGAGAAAAAAGCTGCTTCGGCAAAAATAGCTTATGTAGTCCCACTCATTAATCCCTACTTCCGGAAACGGTGTTTATGGGGTTTTGTGGATGGGGAATTATGATACGCAGTGAAATATACTTTAATAACTGCTATATGCATTTTTATTGTATTGTATTTGGACGTGTTGCTGATTTATAGCTGAAGATTTTCCTAACCTGTATTATCGTTTAACGGATTTCGGAAAAACACGTCTATTGAATTGCAGGTTTCTTGACATTTCCTAAAAATAGAAATGTTGGTTAGGAGGTCGTCTACTTCAACTTACCTGAGGTCCAACTTAC